CAAATGGTTCTTCCTAGTGCTTAAAGACCTCACACATGGTTGGACAAACAGAATGCATATGTTCATGTTTTTGGACTGATCAGACAGTTCAACAAAGAAGTCCATAACTTAATTCAGGAATCCTGCTAGCCCTATGAGATCTGATTTAGGAAATATAGATTAAACTGATCTCTATTGCCTTTTATCAAGTGGCATCACTTATTCTTTATCATACTAATGAGTATGATTTGGTTTTTAAAATTGTTTAGTGCTATTAATGTACATACAAAGTATGCCATGTTGGTACACTGCTTGCAGGAAAGCCTCCTAATTACAAACACGGCCACTGAAACTGGAGGCAACATAAAAGTAATGACTTTATTATAATTTGTGATCCTGAATGTACTAATTACTTTTTGCAAAGTGATTTTTAAAATCCACTCAACATAAGCAGAGTGATTAGGCTTTTATTATTAAGACCATGACCAAGAATTGCCTGTCTGGTAGATTTTTCAGGACTCCAATTATGGAGTAGTGCTTCATTTGGAGAGATTGCGGGCTTCCTCCTCATTTTTCACTATAAGAGATTTGCAGACTGTAGTCATGAATTATAAAAGGTGTTGCTCAAATTAAGGTCTGATGATACACTAAGTTAAGCCCTGTCTTCTTTGATAAACCATGCTGATTAAAGGTTGCACTGGCAGACATACATTACAGAAAGCACACTTCTTCTTACCTACATACTGACCAGAATACCGGTCTCAGATCAGAGCTACAGCAAGCAATAACACAAAAAATGCCCTAGACTAACAGTGTCTCTGCTGCATTTGTTGTAGCACTGCACAGAGACAGAGATAAGAGCTAGAAGAAATGTGAATTGACAAATCAGCTGCCCACATCTCTCCTGGAACACTGGAGTCTACAAAGTAGCTAGATAGTAGTGTTGTGCTGAACCATGAGAAGACAGCACTAAAATGAAAACAAATCGTTAAAATACCTGAGGAAAATAAAGAAGCAAAATATAAAGAGAAAGTTCTTATGAGAAAGAGCATAATTCTGAACTTAACTCATACTGCAGCTATTGCGGATCTTCTCAGTGATGCTGACTAGCATTTAGCAGGTGATCAAAGAACTAGAAAAGAGGCCAAAAGAACATGGAAAACAGAAAAAAGTCTTTTTTGGTCAGATTTAGTGCTCCTTGCCTTGATCCTAATAATTCTGTGACATATAATAAAGTAGTGCTGGTTTTCTTGACAAAATTCGCAATATTTTCCAAATATATCACAGTATCAGATAGGCATTGATAAAGTTAATGAACTCATGCTTCCTGAATACTGCTATAGGTATGTGTTACAGGGAATTCCAACGATTTTTTAATTTTTTTCAATAATTCATTGGTTGAGATTAGTTCTCCTGTGACCGAGTGTGAGTGACGAGATCAGTGACGTAACTGTACTGTCCTACGGTGAACTCACCTCTTTCCATGCATCCTAACAACTTTAGCGGTGTTAAATCACATCTGCAGCGCCGTGTTACAGCGCCAAACCGTCATATTTTAGTATTAGTGCACTCTCGAGCAACGAAAGTGAAAGAAATAGGTGGGTTAATGTGAGTTTTTAGCTGCTGGCTAACTTGAAGCAGCGCTCCGGCACCCCGGCACAACACAGTGAATTGATGATACGGTAGATCAAACAAGACACAAAATCACCGCTTTCAGTTTAAACATACCTAAAAGAAGGACTCTGTTTGTCTGGTGTGAGAGATTCACACTGCAGATAATTTACACAGCGAACGTCAGATACACTGCAGTTCACCCCTTAAACTACTACCATAGCATAGAGAAACCCAGTCGTCGCTAGCTGGTGTCTGAATACTATGATATGCTCTGACATGGATGTGGTAGGAGTGACAGCAGTGACCTACCGAACCAAGTTGACGTTGTTAAGAAACTAAAGAGTTTAGTACTGTTGTTGGCCACTTGTTTAGCATTTGTAACAGGATAGCCGAGCGCTCGTCACCAGACTGCTAAAAATAATCTGTTTTCTTTCTTAAATTATGACTATTACAAAAATTGCAGCTGTGCTTTTCCAGCTGATAAAAACAGCTCAGAAACTTTCTCCCACTGTCCCAAGACAGATTTGTGAAATGTTCCACTGTTTGGTGAGTGGTTGTCATGATCCAACCATAAATTATAGTTTAAAACCACAATTAACCACCCAGGAGCAAAATCAGCCTTCAAATGTGAAAGAAATAATGATTTGACATCGCGATATGTATCGATATCAAACGATATGAATTTTGTTTACCGTGATAACGTTTTTGGCCATATCGCCCAGCTCTAGTTGAGATGTAAACAAAGTCACTCAGAGTGGTTTGATGTGAAATGGTACATTGTAGAGAAACTTATAATATTTCTATATTCTATAAATATTAGAAACATCTAATATTTCTTTACAGTGGTGGTAATAGGAACCATGGGTCATGATGTCTACAGCACAAATGTAGACATTTTATTTACTATCCAAAACCACTAGAGTAGCTCCATGTGTCTTTATATGTAATGTTCGTGATGGTAAAATAGTGGGAAATCTGAAATTTTTTTAGGCTAAAATGTCATAGGAAAAGTATTATAAAACAATACCTCTGACATCAAGCAGTGTATTCATAACCATTTCATGCAATAACATTCTGTGAGGGAGCTTTTAGAGGTAGATGTCTATTGTCTGTCACCACCACTGTGATCAGTTATGACTCGGTAACATTCTCTAGAATGGAGCATTTTTTTTTTATCAAACCACTCGGAATGACTTTGTTTACTTTTTATCTGTTTAGTTCTTAAGACATTTTGAAAAACACTACAGAAAAAAGGGCCTTGGTTATACTTGGCATTAACGTCTGATCATACGATGATCATCCATTCAAGACACAGCACATTTGTGGTTGACCTTTTCAAATGTAACAATTTGCAGTTACAGTCCAGAGCAAGACAGCCAGTTGCGTAACAGCCACACATTCAGCGCAGTCGAAAGAAAAAACTGGATTAAATAATGTGTTAAAGTGTGTTGTTATCAATAAGACGGGAACGATAACATAGCCTAAAATTGCAAATGCTGTACTTCAGGCTTTCTTGGATTATTTACTAATCAGTTTAAGTCAACCTATAATCAAATGGGACCGTTTTTTACCAACATATCTCTTGTATTGCAAATTAAACATTTGCAATACAAAGTTCTTGTTTTGCTGTAGTGACTTTGGTCTGCCTCTAACACATTTAGAATATATCATGCACAAATAGGTGGAAAAATAATATCAATCAATGTCACCTCCCACTTTCATTGAGGGAAATTCTCAGCTAGCTCAGAGACCTTCCCTAATACAGTGTTTCACTTAGAAATACATCTCGAGATGGAAGGAAAATGCACTATAATTTCAGATTTACATCGACATACCGGAACCACACGGTGCTTCAGATGTTTGAGTCTCTGATAGGTCACTTGGACCTATACAAAGCCCTTTGCACAAAAAAAATTCCACATTAATGTAAATGCTGCTGTACAAATCTAACATCATGTTTTGTTTGGACTGATTTGTTTTTCTGCCTCACTTAAATTTACACCAAAGGGATGTACATACACAGTATTTTAAACATTAACCAGACAGGTATCAGATTTCCAGAGAGGAATCACACTATTTATTTATTTTTAATGGATTTTGAACTCTTTCAGCACAATCTAGAGCACCCATGACATATACTGCCAACGTTTTTATCTATCAGTACTAGTACACCTAGAAATCAATATCATGGCATACTTGTATTGATTGTATATTGTATAATGACTTCCATTGGTTGAGAATATGTTGAGGTGTGGTTATATATGTCTATAACTTCAGCCTAGTTCCCCAGTAGCCATAGTCCTGCATTTAAAGCAGTGTTAATTACTCTGTCAAATTGTTTGTTTGTAAAACTCCTAGAATGGCCCCAGTGGGAGACACTGATAATGCTGCGAGCGCCACTGAAATTTCAATTCATACTGATGAGCTTCCTGTTTGTTTTCTTGGACGATGTCCAAATGTTCCGTCCTCAACGGGATCCCACGGCAACACATTTGTAATGATCATGAAAAAATGCATCGATCAGCACTTTCTCCTCCATTCATATGTATAATCATCTGAGCCGAAGGCCACAGGCTGCATCGAGATATTTCCTGTGTGGTTTGATCTGCTCCTGCAGAAAATTGTCCACTGCCTTGTGGTTTTATTTTTCTTTTATCACTGAGTCTGTAATTACATTTTAGCGCTTCTGCAATTTCAGTAAGATCTGCACTCTCCAGTGCTAATGCTGGCTATGTGATGATGATTCTTGGAAGTTGGGCCTGATTGAAGGCTGTTATTACTCGCTGATTCTCACCACTGCAATGGGTTTTACATGGCTCATTTTGAGTAATAACCATTCTCACTCCTGAGAATGCAGCAAGTGCCAACTTCAAACGGCAAGTGATACTTAGTCTTCATTTTCTATGAGTGTGTTCCTTTTTCATTATTGTTGACATGAATTTTTTTTTTTTCTTGAAAATCGTTTCTTCTCAGACATAAGGAGTACAAAGAGTAGGCTACATTATTAGCTTGAGGCAAAGCAGTGCCTTTAAAGTAGGCCTTCTGGATTGAAGACTAGATGTTCGGGATGGCACGATACCACTTTTTCTTTTCCAATACCAATATTGAAACCTTGGGTATTTGCTAATACTGATACTGATCCAATAAGATGACTACATTATCAAACGAGCTATTTTTAATTGAAGCCGTATGATCACACACTAAGATTAGCATCTAAGAGCCTGGTTACACCTTGCATAAACATGATCTGAATCTTATCTGGATGTTCTTTGGCCAGATTCCATTTGCACTTTTCACTAAAATGTGTGAAGAGTTTGACCAGATGAGATCCGAATTAACTTTTTCCCCGTAAATAGTACCTCAACACGCAAGTCATATATGTTTTACTTTTGTTTGCTTTTTCCCAGCTACAATACGAGTTGACAAGCTTGGCGTGGACACTTTTAGTGGCCCAGAGCAAGACGGCTCTTGGTTAAAGAGTAAATCCAGCCTTAAACGCAAGCCATATTCAACAACCAAAACCCCTCCCAGTGCTGTGGATGTGCCTCCCCCTGCTGTTCTGCTTATGGGGAAAAATGCTCACTGTACTTCCTCCACTAAACAGAGGCATCGCTGCTTCTTTAGTTCATCTCCTGATGTGAGCTTCTCCTCAGAGATTAATTCACAGCCTTCGGCAGTGCAAGGTAGTTAAAATAAAGTGGTAGTGATAGAAGTGTCACTTTTTGTCATGTAATAAAGCTAACATTAGCATAGCTTTCAATGTACTAAATTTTAATAAGCTACTACATAGTCCAACCTGGTATCTTAGCATCTTAATCTGGAAACTCAACGTTATGTTACAAACAGAGATGGGAATCAGCAGATTTTTACTCTGAACTCTCAATTGGCCAATTTACTATTTTGGTTTTGGCCAAAATAGTAAATCTGTATTGCAATTTTATTACATACATAACATAAGCCAGATAAATGAATGCTGCTGCTATACCTGTACCAAAATGTAGCATAATTTTTCATTGTGTAAACAGCCAGTTGCCTTTTACTTTTGATGTAGCACTTTATTTGATTCATGTTATTTTTCATCTACAGATTTAAAATGCTAGTTTGGCTTATTAAAGACCAAATAATGTTCTTTGTTTTGCAACACTGGCTAATATAATGTGCTGGAAATGTGCTAGTGTTTTAATTGTTCGTTTTGCCCACAAAATGTGAGCTCCAGCTTAAAAAAGGATCAGGTCATTTGGCTGCAAAGATATCATAATCATCCATAAAAAGTCTGATCGGTGCCTAATATGCGTCCAACCTTGCAGCAGTTCTGAAGAAAGAATACATAAGTGAACAGAGTATGGATAAGTCAATTCACCCAGTATTGTATCAGTTTTCTGTATGTTTGATTGCTTAAGATTTTAAATCTGGTCATGTAGGCGCAATCACATTTGGGATATCACTCTGCAGAAGTTTTTTTTTTTCATTTGGTTTAATTCTTAAGTGTTCTCTTTGTGTCATCCCCTGTTACATACATCTGCCCTGTGTCTGCCCTACCTCCTTTCCTGTCCATATCGTCCTCACTAGACATCTCTTTCAGTCTCTTGCTGCTGGTGTTTGTGCTGTGTGGCCTGGCCCTGCTGGGTGTCATCAGCCTCGCCACCTGGAAACTGTGTTGGGTGCCCTGGCGCAGCGAAGCCCTCTCGTCCAGCGCCACTGCCCTTGCCCCCGCCCGCCTGGACAGAGAGCCTACCAGCGAAGGTGACCAAGGCTATTACTCAACCCAAGGAGATATCATGGCAGACGACAAGCTGAAGGGTCCTGGAAACTTCCTGGAGGCAGCAGTGAAGATCAGTCATACATCCCCGGACATCCCTGCAGATGTTCAGCTGTCCATGAAAGACCACCTGTTAAGACGCACACGCATCGCCCGGCAGACCACCGAGCCGGCCTCCTCCAACAGGTCAGTTCTTAGTCAAAGATTGATAGATTAAAAGATTACCACTTACATTACCATACATTATATACAGCTGATTTCCCAGACCCAGGTTAAGCCTAAGCTTAGATTAAATGGACTTTTTCATTATGACACATCAGTTCATTCCAAGACAAGGCTTAATCTATGTCCACGAAACATGAATAATGTGTTTTATTTACTGCACAGTACTATTATTTACCGGTAGTCATTTCTGTTGTTGCAGTTATTCTCAATTGTGAAATGTCTGTGTAGATGCATTGTGGTTCGAACATGCCTTACTGGTAAGGAGACTTAAGGTTAGTCACAGTCATTCCTAATTGAGTTAATGCTTAAAATCCCATAACTATCAGGGAACATTAGTCCTGAAGGCGGTCCCTGGCTTTTATTGTATGTGTTTAGCTGACAAGAAATCTTTCTCTCATTATTATTGAGCTAGATGGAGACAGATGCTTGAGGCCAACAGTAGTGCTAGCTATGATCAGTGTTAACAGTGTCATAGCCAAGCTATATTCCAATCCCTTTTTTACCCATAGAAGTCAAAAGTTGTTACTTCTGTTTTGCTATAGTATTCAAATTATGTAAAAGAATACTTTATTACACAAATATTTATCTGCTATTCTGCTTATGAACACAAACATGGTATCAACTGAAATATAAACCTAAATGGGGTATTAATTAAAAGGTTATAATCTTCACTTTTGTTAGAATGTCTCTGCTTTTTGCAACAAGAAATAGTTTATATCAAATACAAATGCAGATCAGCACCTGGTGTATTATCTGTGAAAACCAAATGCACATGAATGATTCAGTGACTTAAACTGTATGTATATGTCACCAGGCATAGTTCCTTCAAGAAGCACCTACCCAGACAGATGCACCATGTTACAAGTGTGGACCGCAGCAGCGATTTTTTGGATGTGGAAGACCACTCCACCTGCACGGCTGCCTCCCTTGGCCGAATACAGCCTGAACTTTACAAACAGAGCCCACAGGAGACTGAGGAATTATCCAAGAACGGAGCAGCAAAAACCTGTGGCAAGATCAACTTCTCACTCAAGTACGATTATGAGGGTGAACTTCTGCTCGTCACCATTTTTAAGGCCGTGGACCTGCCAGCCAAGGACTTATGCGGTAGCTCGGACCCCTATGTCAAGATTTACCTGTTGCCAGACCGCAAATGCAAGTTCCAGACCCGTGTGCACCGCAAGACCCTCAACCCCACGTTTGACGAAACATTCCAGTTCCCCGTGCCCTATGAGCAGCTGACGGCCAGGAAGCTGCACCTGAGTGTTTTTGACTTTGACCGCTTCTCACGTCATGACATGATTGGTGAAGTGATACTGGAAAACCTCTTTGAAATGTCTGACCTCTCACGGGAAACTTCCATCTGGAGAGACATTCAGTATGCCACTAGTGTAAGACAATCCATCCTTTTTATTACTCCCATAAGCTGAGGCAGGAAAGCCACTCTTCTGCCCTAGTGATATGTCACTTTAATGTACTCATAATGAGCCAGAATCCAATATAGAAAGCCACTCATATATATATATTCATGTATGAATACATAATATTCTTATGAAAATATTATTGATTAGATAGATCAAGATTTGATAAGCTGAATATCTAGTATCAGCTGAATACTAGATATGCTTTCTAAATTTAAATTAGGCCTATGTCTTTGTATGAAATGTAAATGAATGTAAAAACAACAAAAAAAACAAATGGCTGTAGACACCTACTGCTTGTTTTTCTGAACTGAGGTTAAACCCATTTCCATATGGAACAAAATGTCCTATGGAGGGGAGAGACAGAGAATGGAATTGAAGAATGGAAAAATTGAGAATGGTCCACAACTAAGTAGTTATTAACTAGGTAACTATGTTGTCCATTTCTAAAAAGCAAGGCAAAAACTTGTTCTGTAAAACAGAATTCAGTAGGTGTAATAATTTAATTCTCAGTGTTACACAGCTTTCTCAGTCATTTTACAGTCACTCGTAGCCCTGTTCATGATTATAATTATTTTTACAGCTTCCTACTAATTATTTGAAACATACAATTATTTTATATATCGTCGCTGTCCAATGAAAAACAAGTATCTCCAAAATATTAACTTTACAGGAGAAGGCAAAAACACTCTTACCTTTCAATGTAAGTCAGTGTAAAGAGATTTTGTTCCAAGTGATTTTAGAGCATTTCTGTCGGTCCATTCATCATGAAATTTTTACACAATTTGAAGGACAGCTAGTGTGTTGAAATGATGTAGAAAACTAAAAATCAACAAAAATGGAGATACATGGTTGACAGCAACGATATGTATCTGTGGCAAAATTGGTTTTACATTACTGAAAACATTTCAGCCTCTGCCTGTACACTACAGATTGGTACAGCTGGTTTAGAGTGGGGGTCAAAGGGCCAGACACAGCAACCACAGCAGAAATGTTCTGCACAATGCCATGACCTCAGCAGTTTACATTTAGTTGTGTGGCAAATGTGCTGTATGAAAGCATTTCTGCAGTCTTTTGACCCAAGCCAGCTGTAACATGCAAACTCATCATATGATCACTTTAATATTCAGGAATAAAACTGTGTTCTTCATTATCTGTCAGACAGGCCTTGAAGCCTAGCCAATAATTTTGCTCTATGAATGTGAGAATAAAAGCCTTCAAGCACACTGATAGTCAATTAATGGAACTGTAGGTGTCTAATGCTAATGATGCTTGTGTCAAGTGAACCCAGTAAACTGAAATTTAAATGAGTTGGTGTTAGTCACTCATGAAATTGTGAGTAGTCTGCCTTAGGACTTTTCAGTCTGACATAGGTTGGCAAAGTGGCTACATAACACAAACAACTTTTCATGTTTTTATCAGAACTCAAAAACGCTAGCCAATACATGACTGACAAACAGCTTTTTGAATAGTTGTACACATTTAAAATTATTCTTTTGTTCATTAAAAAGTTTATTTAATTGTAGAAAATGTGTGTTTCAGTAGTGACAGTAGTGTTACACACTGATTTTTAGACTTTGGGACAGATTTATTTCAAAACAATGGGATCTACTCTAAAATACAGAGGCATGGCCAAAATAAGGCTCCGTCTATAGACTAAAACTTTTTGCGTTTCAGAAGTTACATAAAAACATTTGACAGCATGTTTTTTTTTGTTGAGAAATTAAACTTATGATAAACCTAAATCACTTAACTTCACTAGAAATCAAATCTTAATCTTAAAAAAAAAATCCCTTCCCCTTCAAAAAATATTATTTTCACAAGTTGAAATTTAGGGTTCAGGACAGCCACTTCCTGATAGAAAGTACCCTATAAATTATGATTTTGTATGTATTTAGATGAATACCTTCTCAATTAATGTCTTTGGCTTATATAGTTCAAAACACAATCCTTGTAATCCTTGTAAATATTTGGTCTGAAGACTTTTTTATATATGTATATTTTTTTTGTTTGTTTGTTTTTTAATTCAATAGAATTAAATGTTTTTAAACTAATTCAATAGAATGGCACATATACCATGCTTATACACACTTGCAGCATACCAAGCTGGCTGGTTTGCCCAGGATATTTTATGTTAATATGTTAATGCGGAGTTGATTAAATGGTCCTTCTTTGCTGTTTTGACACATTGGAATGCTTTAGCTTTCAAGTTACAAATGTTATTTGCTTGTGTACATCCCTGACCACCTCCAAAGGTGGTTTGAGTTATCAAATCACAATGCATATCAGAGACACATTCAGACCTGTAGTTAGCACTGGCCACTTACGATAGGATCACCCAGGACATATCCAGGACATATGTTAATGCCAGTGTGAACAAAAATGACTGTAGGACAGAGGGAAAAATGTCCTTAAGACAAAATGTACAGGCTTCAGAACTCAGCAAATACATCCTCAGAGGTGTACCATTACTTAAAGGTACTTACTTTTTTCTTTCTCTAATAAAATTTTCACTTCAAAATTAAGTTTTTTATATATATATATTTTTTTTAATATATTAAACTTAGCAAATAAATAAATAGAGAATGTACTATATTGTACACAACAAACTGCAGAAAAATGCCATATTTAAGTTTGTTCCCTGTAAAGGATGTGAAGTCTCTAAGAACCCCAAAATTTTATCACAGGATCTGCAGGTAGGTCTTGGCACTTTTGTTGTAAAAGTATATACCACAAGAAAAAAACTGCACATATATGACCTATGTGAGAGGTGCACCAGGAGAACATCAGAGTAAGACTAAAGTTTGCTAATGAATATCTAGGCAAGGACCAGGATTTCTGGAACAATGTACTATGGACAGATGAGTCAAAGATGGAATTGTTTGGCCAATGTTATGGTATTTGAAAATGCTATGGTATGAGGCTGCTTTGCAGGGCCTGGACAAGGTGCAATTATAGACATTGACTATGTTTCATACCAGAGGGTGCTTGAGGAAAATGTGAGACCATTTGTAAAAAGTTGAAGCTGAAGAAGTGGACCTTCCAACAGGACAACGATCCCAAACAGACAAGTAAATCCACCAAAAAATGGCTCAAAAGGTAGAAATAGATGGCTATGGAATGGCCTAGTAAAAGCCCAGATCTGAATCCCATTAAAATACTGTGGAGGAATTTGAAACGGCTTGTACATGCAAGAAACCTCTCAAACACTGCACACTTGACAGTATTCTGCATGTAGAAATTACCAAAAATGTCTCCTAGTAGATATCAGAAACTGGTAGACCATTATAGGAAATGCCCACATAAAATTGGTTCTGCCAAAAAGGGCAGTATCAGTTACTGAAGCCAGGGGGGTACTTACTTTTTCGGCAGACAAAAATGACGGGTCAGTGTTTTTTTTTTAAATAAATGATCACAAAGTCAGATTTCCATTGTTTTTTGTTTATTACATTTATCTATACACACTGATGTATTGAGACCTATGGTGTTGTCTTCTCACAAAGGACAGAAACACCTGTGGATTTTTTCAAAAGTGATGAAAGCTTAAGTATGTACTGCTTACCTGGTGGTAACAGTTTTGGTGGTCTACCAGGTCTATTTTCTCTAAATCTTTTAATACATTTATAAAAAAAATTTCAAACTCCAAAGTGTTTTTTCACTTATTTGCCTCATGTGACATTCCCTTTCCTCTCCTCAGAAATATCTCTTGAAAAATAATGAAAAAATAAATAAGTAATAACTTACTTAATGGCCGTTTTAACTGGAAATTAATTAAATGAACAGTGGTCTCTGACTTTTGCATAGTTCTGCATAAGTTGTAAGCAGGGCTCATAAAAATGTTGTGCAGATGTTCTTTTCAGTTTGATTTACTGATGTTTAGTTTGGGGTGTTTGGGAGTTTGCTTCAGAAATGATCAAATGATATTGATATATAAATGATGTATCTGATATCTGTTGACCAAGAAGACAGTCATTTGTTGAGGCTGCGTGTGCTCCAAATCCTACAATCCAATGGCAGACAGATCTTCCTCCCTTCAGACTGCATTCTGTATTCTCTTTTTAAAGAGACAAAATTGGACAATGCAGCTGTAAGCAAAATGTGTGAATTAGAAACAAAAAGTGTGAATTTGCACTGGAATCAATTAGCACTGAATAATTCAATATGTGTGTGTTGTTTGTTACTTTTTTAGGAAAGCGTTGACCTGGGGGAGATAATGTTCTCCCTTTGCTATCTGCCCACTGCAGGACGACTTACTCTTACAGTCATTAGATGCAGAAATCTCAAAGCCATGGACATAACTGGTTACTCAGGTACATCTGTGTGTGTGTGGGTGTGTGACAGTGACATGATTTTGTCATAAATCTTCATACCAATGCACAGTCTGAGAAAGACATGTAACATTTATTTGTTTTGCTGGCAGATCCATATGTGAAAGTGTCACTGATTTGTGATGGGAAACGACTAAAAAAGAAGAAAACTACAATAAAGAAAAACACCTTGAACCCTACTTACAATGAAGCCATAATCTTCGACATTCCTCCAGAAAACATGGAGCAAGTCAGCTTACATATATCAGTTATGGACTATGATTTGTGAGTTATAGTTTGTCTGAACATATATTACAAGGCACATATAATGGAAAATCTAGCAATTTTTTGATGTAGTGTGTAAACTCAGTCCAGTCGTGGAAATTAAGCTGCAGAAAAACATTTTGAATTAGTTGTTTTTGTGATGACACAAAAAACGAAAAAAAAAACACACTGACATACACCAATTGGCCACTTAATAAAGTACACCAAGCTTATATCTACACTCTTTGTCTATTTAAACAGCTCCACTTACAATATACACTTTGTAGTCCTACAATCACAGACTGTACTGCATCTGTTTCTCTGCATACTTTGTAAGTCCTCTTTTGCTGTGTTTTTCAAAGGGCAGGACCACCACAGAGCAGGTGTTATTTGGGTGATGGATCATTCTCAGCACTGCAGTGACACTGATGTGATGATGGCATATTAATGTGTATTGCACTGGTATGAGAGGATCAGACACATCAGTGCTGCTGGAGTTTTTAAACACTGTGTCCACTCGCTGAGGTGTTTAAAAACTCCAGCAGCACTGATCCGTACCAGCACAACACACATTATCACGCCACCACCATTTCAGTGTCACTGCAGTGCTGATAATGAGCAATCACCCAAATAATACCCGCTCTGTAGTGGTCCTGAACGGAGGCTAGCAAGGTGTGCAATGAAACAGATGGACTATAGTCTGTAGTTGTAGAACTACAAAGTGCATCTATACGGTAAGTGGAGCTGATAAAATGAACAAAAAGTATAAACACGGGGGGGACTGTGTACTCAGTGAAGTGGCGAGCCAGTGTATATCCACCTGCAGCAGTTTCGCGCCCCTCCATTCACATTGAAGTCATAAGCAGGGTTTTAGTCCAGACTGCTGTTTGAATTAGGTACAATACAAGGCAGCCAATCAGAACAGAGGTCATTTACATATATCAGCCATAACGCCACAGTTCAGCTTGTTTAATTGTAAGAGATAAAGATAGGTTGGAAAATAGTCATGTAATTTTGGTCTCATAAGTCTACACAGACATCAATAAGCGGACCTTGGGGGATGAAAAAAAAAGAATATTTGCCATTTGTGACAAATATGTAATATAGACTTTTGATAGTGACTATTCCAGTAGAGATTTAACACAGTTCTCTGTTGCATCTGTTTGCTATTTTTGAACAACAGAGTGGGACACAATGAGGTCATAGGTGTGAACCGAGTGGGTAGCCATGCTGAGGGGCTTGGCAGAGACCACTGGAATGAGATGTTGGCTTACCCTCGGAAACCCATTGCTCACTGGCATCCGCTCCTTGAGCCTAAGAAGTCTGAGAAAGAGGTGACTGCCTTGTTTGAAACTGAACACAGATTCAAATCATATGACAGCACAGTAAACCTAAAAGATAGTTGTTTCTAATAAAGTGCAGTATTACAGTTCAAAACGTTAAATACGTTGTCGCTGTCTCAAGAAAAACCTCCAAAATGGTAACTTGACAGGAGAAAGCAAAAATGTTCTCAACTTTTATTAACTTTTTATAAAGTTAAAGGAGCAGTATGTAATATATTTACTGTACTAAATCATAAAATGACCAAGATATGTAGTAATACTGGCCTCTCTGACAATAGTGCTACAGCCAGTACGTTCTTCTTTGAAATTTCTGTTCTGGAGCGGAAAGTCTGTTTGTGTTTTGGTCTGTGATCCCACCCACTGCCTATTTCCCAGTACCATTTCGACACCCTGAATTGTTAGATATGAAATAAATTGGCAGGCAAACACAGCATGCTTCAGCCATGGAAGTAAGCAAACAAACTGGATCCCGACCTATAAAGCCTCTGCATCCTCCTGAAATGCTCCATTACCAGAGACATAGTAAAACGCGAGTAAATATTGGTGATGCATTTGAAAGACAGAGACATCTTAGAGCCCAGAAAGACTTTAAGATGGATGCCAAGTTCACTTATTTTCTCCTGAACAGGTAAGCATTAAGCTTCAGCTAAACCTTCACTAATTGCTGGTACTAATGGGAATTTTAAGTAATTTCAACATGCGAAAACTCAAGAGAATTCATTCTCTGTGGTCCGTGTGCAGCTGGCTTATCAAGACAAGGCAGGATTTTGGCCTTCTATTCACTAGCTTCAGCTTCTTGCTTAAATTTTCCCGTTCCACTTTAAATGGCACCTCAGGCACCAGAACGTAAATGCTACACCATTTAAGGTGGAACGAGAAAATCTAAACAAGAAGCTGGCGAATAGGCTGAGGTGCCAGAATGGAGTGGAACGGGTAAATTCAAACAAAAATGTGGCTAATAAGAAGCTGACTTCAGCTTCTTTAAGGCAGCGAGTATTTTCAGAACAGTGGGCTTTTGTTTTTGGGTTAACGGACTTAGCTTTGGGTATCGTACATAGCCAGTCATGCATCCAGCTAACACTGACAGGGTTATAAAAAAATCTGCATGAGGTGGTTTATAATCTGCAAACAGTAAAAGCATTCAAAATATATACATTAGCTGATCATCTTGCAGTGTATGATTGCTTGCTATTGTTAAAGTTTAATGTTGTCAAAGTTTAATGTTGCACTCGTTCATGTAGGTTCAGTGTCCTCAAGCTGGCAATCCCTGTGAGCTTCGAGTCTGGGGGGAGGGCCGGGGCAAATTACTATTTTACTATAAGTATTTTGAGTTTGGACTGCAGTACTCATTTTAAACACTTGCTGTCAGTGCTGCATATTGCTCCTTTTATGTAAAGAGATTTAATTCCAAATACTTTTAGAGAACTTACATTGGTTTATTCATCATGAAGTATTCATACAATGTACAAGACAGCTGCTGTGTTCAAAATAAAAATCGAAAAAAATGTATGTGTACGAAAAAAAATGTAAATACATGTTTGTTTGTTTTTTTACAGCACTGATATGTTTTCTGATGCTGAAAAATATGCAGTCAAAATAATTACTAGATTGCTTGATTACTAATATAATCAAAATTAATGGCCCTAGGCTGATCTTTCTCTTTCTATTTCCGGTCCGCCTCAGTGGAAGACCCGAACTGCGAGCTTTGACAGTCAGGGGTCCTGTCCATCTCCTCGACTCCCCTCCAGTCCGTAGGGAAGGGGCCTGAAGCACATGCCTCTCTCTAAGGCTTCTCAAAAGCCAAGGATCTATTAGGGAGCTGTGGTAAGATTCACACGTCCTGAGACGACCTGTGGTACAACGTCTGTCTGTGCGGACATGGCTTATAGTACAGACAGAAAGAAGAATGAGTCAAAGCTTTTCATGTATATTGAGCCTAGCCAAGCTTCTGGTGGGTAATCAGTTTTATGTTTTTTTTGTTTCAGCAGAGGTTTAATTTTCCCTCACTGGCTGAATTCATAAGCCAGTCCAGAGGGTTATGTTATTGAATTGCCATGTATGGATTTAATTGCTCCAAAGTAGGCAATTAATAAATGTATAGTGTATTTTATGCTTGAAATGATAATGTAAAGATATAGTTCATTAAATATTAAACCAGTATTTCCTTTTGCTTGGTTTAGGGAAATTTATGGGTTTTTTGTTTGTAGCATTTGTAAACTGGTTTTAGACAGAGGAAGTGCATAACAAATGCACTGTGAGACGCACATCTGGGTTTGTGTGAATTAATTCGGGAGAACTGCTGTGTGACATCAGAACAAACGTACTCAAAGGTACTTTTGTTGATGATGATGTGATCCTGTTTGCCACCCAGCAGGGTTTAAGTTCCAAGCCAAGAGACAAGTCTACATTGCTTAAATAGTTTCTGACTGGCTGTTTACAAATAATCTTTTAATTATATATATATTTATTTGAAGCCTTTCAGAATTACTTAGGTTTTTGTGAAATTTCCAATCTCAAACATTAGAGTATTGTAAATATTTTGATACAAGAAGATGTTAAAGGTTATGTAATTTTCCTTGGAAACAAAATCTTTCTCATTCTTGCATTTATCTTCCAGTATTTCTGATTAGAGTACATTCTCACAAATGTTATATAAACATAAGGTTTGACCTTTTCTATGTTTCTTATGTTCTTGAATAGGTAGCAGATAACCTGGCAAAGCGATGGCATCCTTAAATTGTTCAGTACACAGAATAGCTGCTAGTTATTTTTTGCTGTTTTTTTTCTTATACTAGAGCTGTTTTACTGGGTAAGTTTGTCATTTTTGACATTTTCCAGTACACATGCTGTTTAGCTGGAAAAAACAACCCAGAATGTATTTCCCCAAACTTTCTTAGCATTGCCATCATTATGTGACTGGCTGAGTATGTCTTGAACTCTCTTTCTATATAACAAAGATCATATGCTTTGAAGGCAGCCTTGACTGACGTTAAAGTATATCATTACCTAGATCTGAGTGATTGTGTCTGGGACACTTAACATCTCATTTCACTGTCCATAATCTACATAATGTGAAACTGGCACTGGCAACAACAATTATAATTTCACTAAGCAGTAATCAGAGGCTGCCTTTTAGCTTCCAGATTATTCCACTGTGAGCCATAAAGACAAGTAAGGGCTCTGACAAAACATTTGGTAGCTTCACTCTTCACATCCCTAAAGCCACAATCAGGAGCTGTAATAATCAGGACCTCAGCTCTGATTTTATGACAAGGGTGCACGGCCAACATGCATGTTGCATTTTTAGTGACGGCAGTATGGTTGCATTATTCCTGTTTGAAAGACTTTTGTGTGTTAGCACAAAAAAACCAGCCTGTCCACTGCAGAAATTCCTGACTGGGCTTTTAAAGCATTTGAAAAAACATTTTAAAAAATGAAAAAAGGCTATTAGTTTTTATTTTAATATCAATTTACGTTTGAGCAAACCATGTCCATTGTAGTGTATTTTTCTTGTTACCTAAATTGTTCATAAGATAATATAATGTATTTTGTTAGTTGCTTTGGCAGAAACCCCTCGCTATAGTGATCATAGTGATCAGTGTTTCTGAATCAAAGACCTAATGTACTTCCATTTTCCAGGTGGTAACAAGTACCTTTTCACTTTTATATTGAGAATTTGTATTTGTAATGTAAATTTATTAAGTTATTTGTTTCAGAGCACCCCTTGTATTTCATTAGAATGATTAAAGTTGTTGATTATAATTGTCTTTTTTGTATGAATTGCTTTTTTCAATGTGTTTCAAAAGGAAATAAAATTTAGGTTTGTTTACTCATGTATCAGAAATCATACAATATCCTGGAAAACTGTGATGCCATGATGATTTTTTTGTCTTCTAAAATGTAAATATTATTACATGGTCATTTATTGTTTTATAGGACAATGTCAGTAAATAACACAATTATGTAACTCCAATAAACAGCTACCAAAAAAATGTTAAACATAATAAATGGAAATATTTAGAGTATAATGCTGTGACAACTGCAAACAACTATAAGTTGTACATTTTGGAATATACAAGAACAGTTTGAATTATCTGTTGTTTTCAAAGCCAGTATAGTAAGTGGTCAAGACAACACCTTCATTTAACAACAAGAATACACCTTAGTTCATCTGTAGATAACAATGCATTTTTATGATTTTTGCCCCTTTTTAAATTTCTCCATAATGCTAATACAGGTAGATGCCCCAGTTTCTACATTTTATAAATGTTCAGGCATTGGCATTCTTATCAGCATCAGCTGATAAAGTATGTACATGATAAATATTCCCTAAAAAGATAATGTTTTTATTCAGATTTACCGTTATTTTTTGTAATTGTGGTTTCTCATGAAGACAGATAAAATGGCTATATTTATGTTATAGACATCATGATCCTTGGTACCTATCAGTACCACTGTAAAGTCCCCTGACACTTCTCTAAGTTTCTCTACAATGCACTTCTACAATGCAATTTCCCATCAAAGCATTCTGAATAACTTTATATGTCAATTATTGAATTGTCCAAAAATTTAGAAAAATTGTAAAGTAATAGTTAGCAAAGGAGAAAAATATGGCAATTTTCCAGATTACAATCTCAAAGGTTGAAAGTAGGAATGAATGGGGCCGGGCAAGTAGGCAGGAAAAGTAGAAAACAATTAGCTGTCTCCAAATTACCCTTAAAGGTGCAGTGTGTAAGATTTAGTGCCATCTAGCAGTGAGACTCCAACTAAATACTCCCTCACCCTTCCTTTCTAAGGGTGTAGTAGATCCTACGGTGGCCAGCAGGTATGCATAAATATGACAACCCTGGAAGCACGGAGATATTTTTTAACATTGACATGGCTAAAAAGGTTACTAATGCTAAATTACCTGTCCAGCAGAATACAGGTAACTTCGGCATGACTCTGAAAACATTTGTCCCACATCAGTGATTTACCTCTAGGAAACGCCACATCAGTGTTAATCCTTGTTTTCTGCTATCGTCTGTCCCAATTTTGTGTTGCTTCTTCCTTTTTTTGCTTATTTGGCCATGAGGATTCATCCTCCCTTGCTTTTTCTTGTGCTAAATAATATGCATGATTCTCCATGCAGCCTGTGTTGGAAGAGGACCTGCTCCCTATGTAGCTAAGAAGGGCTCATTCTAAGCTAATGAAAACACAGTTCGTACTTATAGGTAACTATATGCTAATGAAAGCATGGTTTTGTATCCTAAATTCAATTTCTGCCAATAGATCCCCTAAATCTGAAAAAACACCCTTTACTGTACTTTACAGTTCAAAGGGAGCAAAGGTAGGCCTACTGTGAAAGAAACTTCAGCAAGTATGTCATACCTGAAGTATAGCTATAGTATAAAAATCGGGATTATTCTGTTCAATATCACCTACACGTCCAATTTCTTCTTCATTTGCAGCTTGTAAAGAATCTGATATCCATCATCCCAGGCATAGAGTAGTTGCTCCAGGGGACTGTATTTAAGACTTGAATGAGTTCCATAGCGCTTAGGAAAATACACTGTAGGAGCATCATCATTTGTCACCATGTCACTCACATCAAAAACACACTGGATTCGAGAGCGGCTTGGGAGCTTGGAGTTGTACACCACATAGACGGTGCCACAGACCACAAAAGCAGCCTCTGCATTCTCCCTTTGGCATGGGGTGTCCCACATTTGCTCGATGGCCAATGTTTTGGGGTCCACCTTGGCTAGAGAGACATGGTTCTCATTCTCTTTTGTAGCATAAATGGCCCACAGACCTTCTTCATCTGCAGCTAGGTCAATGTAGGTCTCTGGGTTCAGGGTATAGACTGGCAGCTGGTCTTTAGCTGGGAATACTGCACTGTCCACCACCATACTTTTCTGCAGGTCAAACTTCACCAGCCTTATTTCCTCGCCATCCTTCACGTAATACAGGTGATTGTTGTATACAGCATGACCCATACCACCCCAGGCTGAAGGCAGCTGGATGGCGGAGGCTGCTGAAGTGCCTTGGGAAGAGGTGAAGTCCCGGACAGAGCTGAACTCGTACAACGTGTCTTCCCCTGTGCTGTTGAATATGTAAACTTTGCCTGAGGAGCTGCCCATGTCTTTGGTCCACATGCCCTTGCTGCCACCCATCCGTTTGAGTATCTTCATGGCTTTGATGCTGGAGATCATGTCACTGCAGTCTTTGGGGATGGTAAAAATTACATTATAGCCATGAAGTTAACTTTTTCAGGAATATAGCGTCAAAAGTAGAACAACTCTCTTACCATACTAAGAGGGATTTCTCATTACTTTGTGTGCAATTAGACACTAAATATTTATGTAATCATTTTTGTAATCACTCCACGGCTCTGCTTTAATTAGTGTGTTCATGTTTGCTCTCTCTTGTTCAATTAAAATGTTTATCCTGCAGGTTGTAATGACAGGCACATTAGTATGCACTTGGCCCAAAAGCACATTTGAATGTTCATCCTAATAATAAAAATACTGCTACCATCACTCTGGTTTACTTAGCCAGGAAATATATAAAAAAAAATCAATTACACCACACTATGATACGGTTAATAACATTTTTGATGTCTAGCTACAGCTTACATCTAGATATGCCAGCAAACGTAACAAGTGCTATGCTGATAAAAGTCTTGTCCTCCACTAGACTAGATTGGGAGGACCAGAATCTGTGAATTGTGACTAAGACAATTCCTATTTTCCAGCCTAGGGACTTTTGGTATAGTCCTTGAATACTTTCACATTAATATCCCCAGCTAATATGTAATGCAAATCTTTTGTAAAGTCTCTTTACCTGTGAGCTTGGCGTACTTGGCCTTGTTCCTCTCCTTGGCCACAGTCACCTGCTGCTCCACCAACTTATCATCCACATCCACACATGGCTGCGCACCATTCTGTGTCTCTAGGAAGTCCATCTCCCGCTCCACTCGATCTACTCGTGCGCCCACAGAGTCCAGCTCGGTCCGCAGCGCCTCCTTGTTCTTGTCCAGGCCCTCAAGCTGAGCCACCATCTGCTGCTTGAACTCACGCAGCTCCGATGTGTAGCGGCTCGTCTGCTCATGCCACAAGGAGATGCGGTCCTGGTGGAAGACATAAGGAAGAGCCTTGCTTGAATTTCAATAGGCCGAAAGGTTTCTATAAGCAGATTAATATATGCTAGAACATATGCAGAATGTGTATAATGGTCTTTGTGAGCAAGCTTTTATCAACAGATACACAAATCTGAGCATCCAGTGGTGTCTATAATAAGTGCCATCAACAGTCTTCTTGAAGGTCATGCAGGCAAATGATTTACATGCATAATGTTTATCTTCATATCTATAGATCAGTTAAGTTCATATATAAAATATATTTCAAATTCCATTATAAAATAAATATAAATAAATGTTAAATTAAAATATAAAAAAGCAATATATTTAAAATGTATTACAATATATTCTATTTATATTTTGGAATATACTGACAACATTTAACAATACATTTCATTTCATAGAAGTATTCATGTGTGTACATGTAAGAACATTTCAATAAACAACTGGAGATTTTACTGTGGGTGTAATCCTTATTAAGTGTTTAAATTTTGCTTGAGGACTTTATTATGGCTTTAGCTTTAAAAATAGCTTCGGTTACACTGCAAAGGGATCAGCCTCTGGCTATGCAAACTCCTTTTCTCATCTGTGAGTCAGTGGAAAGAATTAGAAGTGAAGCTTCTTTGAACACAATCACATGAATTGACTTACTTGTGCTGGAGCATATGTGCGGAGTCAGCATGGGGGCGGGGGCTAGAGATACTTTCTTTTACAAGACAAGCTCCAAGACACAGAGGCAGATAGTCAGAAGGAGCGTGAGTGGAGAGATAGAGCAGATAAAGCTAAAGAGCTGGCTAGGGAGAGAGGGGAAATGAGCATGTGTCTGTGTGCATATAAACCCTGAGGGAGCGCCATGTATGAGGGCAGTCAAGCAGAAAGGAAGAAAGAGCAGCCTGTGTTATGCGTATGAAGTGTCCCATGTAATGCCACTAAAAATATACCTGTATTGAAGATGCTTTTAGAAAGCAGAATAATAGAAAGTGCAGGTCAGGATGAGGGTCAGCTGAAAAGGCTTCTGATGCAGAAAGCCCCCTTTCTCAAACAGAAGGTCCTTTTACTGGATGCTACATGTCCAAAAGTATCCAGACACCTCTCCTAATAAGTGAATTTATCTATACTAAAGTCCACCAATTCATTTGTGAACACACAACTAGTGCAATCTCCATTGAAAAGTATTGCCAACCAAATGGGGCACTCTGGAGCAGCCACATATATGCCTAAGGTCACCATGCACCAATGCCAAGCACTGGATGGAATTATATAAAGCTCCCATGCAGCAGAACTGTATTCTCTGGAGTGATGACACACCTTTGGGAAGAACTGGAGTGGCATTTGTTTTCTAGGACTAATCATCCAACAACAGTACCTGACCTCACTAATGCTTTTGTGGCTGAATTGCAATCAAAACCTCACAGCAGTGTCCCAACATCTAGTGGAAAGCCTACTCAAAAGAGTAGAAGCTGTCACTGCAGCAAAGGGGAGCAGAAAGAAGCAAATCTCTGGATATGCAGTGTCTTTTAATGCTTGTCTATATTAGTCAAGTATAATGGTTACAGGAGTTTCCTTATTTCTCCCAGCCAGGTTCCTGGCGGTGCAGGGCCTGCTTGGAGCAGGGGCTAGCTTACCTCGATGGCCAGCAACCTCCTCTCTAAGTAGTCCATCAGGGCCTGCTGCTGGGCTGCGGCCAGGCCACAAAGCAGCACGACGGCAAGGTGAAGTGTTCTCATCATGGCTGAGAGACGGAGAGCTCCTAGTCGTCTTTGTGTGTGAGCAGAGGCAAAAGCAAAAGCCCTCATGCAGAGTCACCAGCTCCACTGGAATGTTTTACTTAGACAGAGAGGAGGAGCCTGACACATCTGGCTCTGCTTTTTCTTTTCTTTTCCCCTAAGCTTTTTTGTCTCTCTCCTTCTCTTTCCATTTGTTTAATCCCAGGTTATAAAAATGAGCTGTAAACATGGCAATCATTACAGGTAGGCTGTTGACATCTAGCAAAAAACGACACCAAAAACCTACATTTGGTCTTCTAGCCTTTAAATCCACCTAAAAAAGCTAAAAGTTTATGCTATGCCTTCTGTTCCAGAAAATTTCAAAGTATTAATTTTCCCTTTTGAGAAAAATGCTAAGTGTTCATAGTATAGTCTTCGCAATTACGTTTTTAGCCGCTACAGAGGTTGAGTTTCTCAGGAAAAAGGCCTTATTTGCCCTTTTTTCTTTTCATTTTCTTCATTATTTTCTTTGGCGTTAGGCAGTGCTCTCTCTCTCCGTTGCGTAACCATGAAGCAGCTTGCCAGCTGAACTTATTTTCCATGTCTGTCTCCTCTAGTCTAAACCTTGACGTGCTCCCAGCCAACAGTGCTCCATTGTGAAAGAGACAAAACACACACTGCCGGTACAGCTGGACCTCTGTTTAACTGAGAAAATCTGATATTTAAACTTCGGTAAAACAAAACTATGGATTTATGTTTCTAAGAACATTAGAGATTATTTATTATGCATTCATTAACCCCTAAAATCTTAAGCTTATTACATACTAAGGCTTATTGTTCAGTAATTACACTGAATTCAATGCAAACTGGTTGAGCCAATTAACTGGTTGAGCCAATTAAGTTAATTAACCTATATGGGTACATGAATTTTACTCCGTTAACAGCCCCATGACACAAGCTATATGCCTTTTCAGAAAAATGTTTTGGAAAAGTTAGTTTTATTGATAATTACAAGGAACATTGAGAAGTATCAGTCAATTAGTTATACCTAACACAAGAAAAAAAATGATAAAAAAAGAAGAATTAATAAACATTGAACGCTGAGGGAAAAAAGCTATATGAAAGAAAACATTTAATATTTAGGATTATCAGCCACTGTGTTTGTTATAACCATAGGCATGTTTACATTTCCCATTAGCATGATATAAATTGAACAGTACAATCTTTTTGAAATATCATAATGAGCCCTTTAGAGATTACCTGTACTACATGTGATTTTCTTTCTCTACCATGGTGCAAAATGCCTTGTGATTTTTTTTTCCAGTTTGTGGATATACATCACTGCTGTCGGGAAGAAAACCTCGTATCTCCATTTTTGATATTTTTCAGTTTTTGACAATCTAAAAATGCATGTTTTCCTTTATATTGTGTGTAAAGTTAGGGAATGGCTATGAAAAAATAGTTACTTGCCAGAAGATACCCATATCTACCAAAGTTCCAATCGACTGGAACTGTGAAAAAAGTTGACTGGATGAGGACCTAAGTTCATTTTGGCCCCACACACTGTGAAGAGGACGGTAAGAGAGGCAAAAAAAATCCCCAAAGATCACTGTTGGAGAGATACAAAAAAAAGTAGCATCTTGGGGTCACCAACTCTCCCAAACCACCATCAGACGCCACTTCCATGCCAACAGTTTATTTGGACGGCTTGCCAGGAGAAAGCCTTTCCTGTCATCTAACCACAGAAGTAAGCGTCTGCAGTTTGTTAAATGCTACTGGGACTTTGACTGGAAACGTGTTTTATGGTCAAATTAAACCAGAATTGAGCTTTTTGGCAACAAACACTGAAGGTGGCTTTGGTGTAAAAAGAAGGATGACTACACTGAAAAGAACCTTATGCCTGCTGTTAAGTATGGTGGAAGGTATGAAATGGGGTTGTTTTTCCTCCAAAGGTCCTGGGAACCCTAACAGGTCATTATTAAAATACCAGGGCATTTTAAATCAAAATCCAAAAAGGGTCATCATTGAACCTTTCAGCAGGACAATGATCCAAAGGTCCAGATCAACACAAAGTTGGTTTACTGAACACAAAATCAAGCTTCTGCCATCTCATGGAGGAATCTCAGATCTAGACCCCGTAAAAAAAAAAGAGGGACCTAGGACCCTGGATGATCTGAGAGAAGTCTGAGCTGTATTCTCCAACCTTATAAGATGTTATAGGAGAAGACTAAGTGCTGTTTTATTGCTAGGGAATACAAAGTATTAAATGCAGGGGTGCCAATAATTGTAGAACATATGGTTTTATTAAAAATAATTTCTTGATGAGGAATTTGTTTTATGAATTTACTTCACTTAAAGGTTGGATTTTTTTTTCAGTGCGAGATTAAGCTAATTCACCAAAAGGTGAATTTCTTATAACCCTTTCAACTCATCTTTACCAGGAGTGCAAATAGTTGTGAAGAGGACTGTATTAGTGTACGTAGGCCAAATCTTATACCATACAGGGGTGTTCACACTGCATATTACACAAGCACAATGCAGTCAGCAGCAATTAAATCTCAAAGCTATCATCACTGGCCTTGGTAAGGCCTTCATGTTCAATGTGATAATCAATATTATAGCCCCAGAGCTTGGTAATTAGTCTGCTTATTGGATAGACATCTGAAAGCTTATCTGCATAAAAAAAATAATCTTGTCATTATTGTAACGGATTGTAAAGAAGTGAATCACTCAGTACCTCTAAATTGCAACTTGTAAAGCTTTTTCTGTAAACAACATCTGTTCTGTATCTATCACCAGTTGATTCTTGAAGATAACACTTTTTAAACACCTCATGTTCCAAATGTAACTATTCTGTACTATTATCTGACAAAATAATATAGGCATTTAATCTTGCAAATGTGATTATTTATGCAACTGGCCTAAACTACCACTCCTATCCATGACCTAATTTTTTTCTAATTTATGATTATTTATGAATGTATTATTTCTTGATCAACTTGTTCAATATACAATACCCCGTTTAAACACAAGATGTCATTGTTGCATTGCTACACTTTTTGCAGCAGTATAATTTTGTTAGTCAACTTTAGCCAACTTTAGTGATTATGCATTTCTTGCATATTAATTAATTAATATAGGAGTAACCAGTACCACATTTATTGATGAATTATTTTATTTTGGCCTGTGTTTGTTACCTACTGGAAACTAAAACTTAGATGTCTCCACAAGGGGGCACTTCATTCACAGTGTATTTGATCTTAACTTGCACACAGAATTTTGCAGGTCACTCTTTTCATCTAAAAACCTATTTACTTTGTAGACAATGTTGACCCAACTTTATATTAAATACAGAAACCATTAGTATTGCATGAATATTGTTGTATTTATATAATATAAAATGAGTGGTGATAAAAGATTCCTCAAAGTACAAATACTCATTTTAAAATTATAAACTTTGAAGCAGTTTTTCATTATTTTCTCAAGTTAAAGAACAAAAATGCACACTTTCAAGGTTAGGAAATGAGATATTCTCTTTGTATTAAATTGATCAAAAAAGAATCATGAATGAGAAAGTAAGAATTGCTTGTGACATAAATGCTTCAACATCATTGGCTGGCTTACTATTGGTAGAAATATCATTCATATTGCAGACTGTCATCACTAGAGATGTTCCCTAATCACTTCTCTCGCTACTTTACTCTGTGTCTTCTACTGTCTGTCTCCCTCTTTTTCTTTCACACCGCTGTTTTATCAAATATATTTGTTTAATGCAAACAAATGCGTCACAGGACTTACTGAACTCTCTGATCTTGATGTTACATATGTTAAGAGTTTAGATTTGTTAGGTGATTAAGCAACTGCTGGAAAGTATCTGGTGTGACAATCAACTTATGATGTTCATGATTTTAAAGTATATAGTTTGTAGAGTAACAGATGTGTCGAAACACTGTGAGTGGAAAATTGTTTTCTTTTGAAATGTAATGAGTAAAAGTCAAAAGTTTTAAGGGAAAGAAATCTTTTTTTTTTAAAATGTAACAAAAGTAATGTACTTGAGTACAGTAACAAAAGTATCCTTTGAAATGGTTAGTAAAAATGGACATTCGGACTCCGCTATTCTGCCTATATTCCCTTGTATCTCCTAAACGTTTTAATTCCAATCCAATGGAGTTAAGGATAAAGAACTGCAAAGGTTAATTATTACATATCAGGGCATGAAGGGAAGGAATGAAGGGAAACAGCTTGGAAAGTGCAAACATTGATTGAACTCCACACTTGGAGAGTGCAAACATTGATTGAACAACTGAAACTTACCATGGACAAAAATAATCTGTCGGGGCGGTCTTCCTGGATCTTAGAAAAACATTTGACACCTTTAATTAAAAGATTCATATCTCCGAATTTTCCAAGTTCAAATTCTCTGCTTTGGATGTACAGTTCGAGGAAAAATACCTTTAATATGCAGCATTTATGCAATGTGGAAAAAAGTTATTCACACTCACATATCTCATTTACAAAAGTGGTTGTTCTGTGCTACCACTCCAAAGAACATGCTTTTGGTCATTTCATATTCCTAAAGTCATTCCTTTGTCATCCGTGATTTTTGACACCAGTCTCAAATACAGAGTCACTCCTGTGTTCATTTTAATTCTTTATACTTAAAGGTCTGTATGTGGGTCCAAGCACTAATTTCTGTCATAAATATATTACCCTTGAAGTTAGTTTTGTAGTAGTTTCTGAATAATATGTTTTTATAACTAAAAACAACTGCATACAGGATCTAGCTCCACAAGTTCTTTTGTGATTAAGTGAAACTTCTTTAGGTCCTTGGTTCACTAATAAGGGTTTGCTGCAAGATTCTCTGTTGTAAAATGTTGTTTCTCTATGGTGTCAGTGGGATTCATTTCAATGTCCTAATGGACTTTGTTTATTCATGCCATGAAAGGGATTTAAAGGCAAGTTTCAAAGTCCTTGAAGGGCAGACAGTCTTATATTCAAGTTTAAACTCTGTATTAAACTTTTTAGATTTTTTATGTTTTGCCCCACTGAGGACAAATACTGCAAAATATGATGTTACATTATTGGGTCTATCACTGTTAAATAAAAATAAAATATCTAAAAATAAAAAATATT